GTATCTGCCACATGTACCTACAAAATCGTAGGTCTGCATGAGAGAAAAGGGGCAACCTTTAGCATGTCATAATGCACCTCGACGGAACATTAATCATTATGTATATATATATATATATATATATATATATTTTTTCAACTATATTCACCTTCTAATTATGACATTTGATTGAACTAGGATTATATTAAAGAGTTCAAAAATTGCTTGGGTCTGAGTTTTGCTGTTTCCTTGGTCATTCATGATACTTCTACTATGACTTTTTTTGTATTTCTTACTGTTTTTTTGGGTATATAACCTTCCACAATCTGAAAAAATAAACAAAGCTAAATCAATAGAGAAATTGACGAATCAATAGAGAATCTGCCCAATTGTTCAGTAACCCAAAAAAATAGTAAGAAGTATTGAGTCCTCTACAAAATAAATGTCTTTCAACAAACACTATTTTGTAATAATCACTTACCCGCAAACAAGTTCATCCCCCACTACTGTTTCAGTACTAGTCCCGTTCGATCTCTCCATATCTAAAAAATTCCCAACAATCTCCGCAGAAGTCATTTTCGTATCACCGATCATCTTCTCTTGTCTCTCTTCCGCACTATTCCCTCCATTCACTCCGTTTCCATTATGATTTATGTCTCCGTTTTGTATAGTCTTCTCGTTATTTTCAGTTGAAAACACATCACAAGAAATCTCGCCGATTTCACTATTTATCACATTTTTCACTAAAAAATTAGATTTGTCGCAGTCTACGACATTCGTTAATTTGGAGTCACTGGCATCAGTCGCTTTTGGAGGTGGTGGTTCGCCAAACTGAGTACGTTCAAGTTCACCGAATTGTGTCTGTTCCAGTTCTCCATTTCGATCCTCAGATGGAGAACGCAAGTCTTCTTTGAACATACAGTCTTGGTTGCAATCGACTTCGTCCAGATAGGGGAAAAAACAAGTTGGTTGATCGGCATCTTGGTGGTTACCATGACCATTGAAGGCATTTTTAGGTAATACATTTTGTTTGGATGAAGAATCCTGGTCTAAAACATTCGTCTTTCTGAAAAAATATTTTACATAATTTGAAATTCTCTGTGAATTTTCAAAACATCTCAAACCTCAATACAAATTGCTACTACCACAACTTATAGTCTTTCAATATATGATTATATACTATTTCAAAACTCTTCTTAACGAGTTTATGAACTTACAAAATTATGGAATACAATTTGATGTTCAGGGGTAATTCAGCCCCTCAAACAACTGATCTCTAAAGGAGAGTGTTGAATTTACCGAATATTAAGTGTCTTAATGGATTAATTACACTAGTCAACAAATAAGAAAAAAAATTGCTACTAATATTATAATGGCTATACAGAGTAGTTTAAAGCATCCTGTCTGCGACTTCAACATCGAAAATTTTCCATCACGTAAAGATGGAAAGATGGATAACGTTTTTGAAAAACAGTTATTTTTCATTTTATACCAAAATTTTCACATATTATACGGAAATATAAGATCAAAACAAGAAAAAAACAATATATTTTGAAGATAACCGACTTTATTTACAATACACAAGAAAAAACATTCAAATGAAGTCCTTTGTGCATAACCTTTTTGCAAATGTTGACTCTTATTTATATGTTTCATCATTTTCCCTCATAAGAAACCAACAATAAATCCCCTATCATTGCTGCATCCCATCTGCCTTGGTAACGTTGCTCTATTGTCAGTATGTCTCGGTGGAACCTTTCCCCTGTTCATCACTGACAGTACCCAAATTTTCTGGGAATAAATTCAAATGGGAGTGCAAGAAATGAATTTTGAGAGACATGCGACATCCCATTCTGCAGTAGTTTTCAAGTAGTTCTTCTACAAATGTTTCGTAATTTTCTACTTTCTTGTTCCCTAAAAACTCCGAAACAATTTTTTTGAAAGAACTCCACGCAGCTAATTCAACATTATTCAATTTTTTATCAAACTGTTGATCACTTAGTAGTTCTCTAATTTGTGGTCCAACAAATATACCTTCCTTGAGCTTTGCATCACTTAATTTTGGAAAAACGTGTTTTCGGATATAGAATTTTGTGTTTGCTCTTGCTCTTGAAAACCAGACACATTTGTCATGCAAAAGTAACAGTCGTTGTAATGATTTGTTGTTTCTCGCCAAATCATTGGAATTGCAAAAGGGATAGAAGAGCGCTTGCCATTCAGCCAGTTACTTAGATTTACTGCACAGGTTTGGCAACATACGTGAGGAGCCCAATCTCGATCTTGATCACCAACAATACATCCAAAATACTTACGGTAAGCTAATTTGGTCATTTGATTAATTGTCTCTTTCTGCGATTTAGGAGTAAACTGACCACATATATAGCAAAAACTATCTGTAGGATTAACGCATCAGCCACGTTTCTGTACTTTGGACATTTATGTACTGTTGCGTACGTCGAGTTCAAATATGTGATACTGCGTTTACAGGAGTCAACTTATTTTATTCACAAAGATAACACTAATATAATACTCTTAATATTCGCGTGTTTGCTCACCTCGCTTCTCTAATACAAACTCACCACTACTCGCGTTAAACCAATATTGATGATCCCATTGTCAACCTGCTACTTCAATAGCGGTTTCATATTTCTGGTATTTTCTGGAAACTTCGAGTATACGAAGTTCGAGAAGCGGCGTTACGAGTCTCATATACAGTGGAAGCAGTTTCGAATATTGGGCAGAGCCGCTGTGTTGCCAGATTTTAAAAAAATTCATCAACTTAGGGAAAAACCAAATTTGGAATGTGGTGTTCATTAAATTTTTGTGAAAAAAATCATAACTCAAAAATCTTACGTGTCAAGAAATTTACTATTATTTTCGCATTTAGGGACCAAAAATTAACAAAGAACTGCCTTTGGCATTACAGTCGTAAATTGGCTGTAAACTAGTGTTATTTTATGTTAAACTAATTTATTACTGTATGAAGTTGATGGTTCAAGTTTATAACAATGTAACGAAGTTACATTGTTATAAACTTGAGAATTCGCGGGACAGCGAAAATGGGCGGTAGGGCAGTCTAGTCCGACTGTCCACCCCAGCCACCAAATCAAGCCAGCAGCAGAGAAACCAGCCGAAACCAACCGAGGCCAGGATTCAGAGGAAGCGAGGGTAACCAAGCCGACTGCAGTCTCTACCGAACGGGCCGACAGAGGGTAATTCCGAATCATACAAGGTAAGACACGGACGTAGGTAATAAGTATGGTAAGTACCTGTCCGCCACCATCTGAACTCGCGACAGGAGTAGGTTTAGCCATTTACTAGTATCACCACGCGACTCTTACGTTTTCAGATCCTTCGGTATTCGCCACTCGGACTACGTTTTCTTCACGCGTCTACTCTTACGTTTTCCGATCCTTTGTGGTGTTCGCCACTTGGATCATCCGTTCGAAACTGCTCTCCGCATTTCCAGCCCTTTGTCGTAATCGCCACTTGGACTATCCTTTTCGGGTTTATCGGTACTCATTGTCAGCTATCGTCGTCGCTCTCGAAACTTCGGGATCGCTAGTGCGGAATCAAAAGCGTCATTTATAAGTCGTATATTTGTACGGGGTTAAAGAATAAGCTCGAGTAGGCGAGGGACAATTTATTTTGAGGTGAATTGCACATAGCTTTTTATACCCGCTTGCTACATTAATCGTGGTTGATTGCGTTTCCTGCCTACCGTTAGCAACGCTTAGCTTAGGATAAACCCTTACCGTTGTGTTTCAGTACTTATTATGTGGCGTACCCTATTATAGTTCAAAAGAGTTCTATGAGGACAGCTTTCTCTAATTTATTTCGTCAACTGTATTTTTTATTAAACAAAGTATGGTATACTGCATTTGAACATTGGATTTTTTTTAAAATTTTTTATTGTATATCTTTAATCAATTTTATATGTGTTTGACTATTTTAATATTATTTGTACCCTATATATGTATATGTGTGTGTATAGATATGTATACAGGGCTTTTCATGATGAGCGTTAATTAGCTGTTTCTGGCAAACTATTCAACGGATCAACCTGAAAATTCCACAGTATGCATAAGTCAATATGACCTACATGCCTAAAATATTTTAGACGAAGCGGCGTTGTCGCTTCTACTATAAAGTAGCGACTTCTTTGATTTCTCAAATGGAACACCCCGTATATAATATATTATGATTCATTATCATTTTGTCAACAAATTCATATACTATTTCCCTATAC